AAAAAAAAAAAAAAAAAAAAAAAAAAAAAAAAGAAAAAAGACATGGAGTCTTGAATCCTCACGGAAGAAACAGTACCAACGATCCATCAATTCTGACACGGGCAATTTCACGGGGAAATAACTTTCCTGGAAAGAACGCTGCATCGTCGCCTGGTCGTCGGTCGGTCCTCGAGGTATGCAGAACTAACAACTTGTTCCAACCTTAACCTAAAGTGAAATTATTCGAATTATCAATCAGACATAGATTTTGTGAGATTTCAAAGGTTTTGGGATTTTTTAAATTTTAATTTAAAGATGTACATTACCGTCACGATGCGAAATTGTATCTGTATTCATCGTTGTTGAATTTTTTTTTAAATTTAATCACAACAGGCACTGTTGTTAACATAATAGTTGTTGTTGTCCGTTGTTTGAAATCGACAACTCTCGAGAACTCATTCTTACTCTCTTGTTGCAATTTTACCTAGAATTAAATTATACGAATTAGCAGTCAGATTTCAATTAAACACTTTGCCTACCTGCTCATGCTGGAAGTTGTCACTCACTAACCGCCCGGCTCTTTGTTAGTTGGCCGCGAAAACATACGTGCCTATTTATCAAGCTACGAAGCTCAATGTAATTACTTGTAAACTAATATTCGTATAATACCTTGAACGTAATGACACTCTTCATGAAATGGACTGAATTTCTTTAATATTTTTTTAAAGTGTGACACACGAGCAGTATTACAAAATGTACGGATGAAAGATGTTCTGCTTTTTATTTCTTTCGATGAACACACAATAGATTGCTTTTTTTACTAGTCACAAATGTTTTACTAACCAGGAGAAAAAACGAGGGGTCGATCACTAGGTCCATCTGATCGGCAAACGTCGATAACCAAAAAAGTAATTAACAAGTAATTATCGATCGGTAATCGTTGAAAAGCCGATTAATCGGCTAGCAGTCGATAACCATTAAAAAAGAATGCCGATTAATAGGCTTCCGGTAGATAAAATGTTAAAGAAATTTAAAATAGACGATTAATTTAAATTAATATAAATTACCATCGTGATGCTTAAATCTATCTTATCATTCATTGTTGCAACATTGAGTTTTTGGAAACTCATTACAATGTTCTACCATTATTGACAACAATTAATAATTCGCTGCCCGAGATCGACAACACGGAGAAGTAACAATACTTTTCACTTTCTTGTTGCAATTTTACCTAGAATCAAATTACTCGTATCATCAATTAGATTTCGCTTAAAGAAACTTCAGACAGCGATGATTAATTTAAAGATATAAATTACCATCGTGATGCGAAATCTGTTTTATCATTCGTTGCAACATTGAGTTTTTGAACGAAAAACAACAATTGTTATCTCGTGATCGAGGAGCTCTCTCTCGAGGCAAAAGAGAAGATTCCTCCGATTGTTTACGTTCGGTGTAAAAGCTTGGATTTCCTTCAGGGACTTGTTTCGTTGATCCCGGAGGAACGAGACGAAACAAAACAGAGAGGCTGTGAAAGAAAAGAAGAGGACGAGGGTGGCGGCCTTGCGCCGATGATCGCCGCTGAAAATCAGCCGAGTTTGCGTGCCGGCTCCAGCCTGGGGCAGTTCGAGGAAGCAGCGGGCGACGGAAGCGTGGGCGGCGGCAACGAGGCTGGTGGAGCCGGTGGTGCGACCACTACCTCGGAGCCAGGTGAGAGAGCTAATTATCCAACTCGAGAGAGATTGCGATCGTCCGTGTATGTGTTCCGGCAACCAGACCGCCTAGATCCCCGGTCCTAGATACCGGCTCGTGGTAAAAGAGAGCGGTGCAACCTCTCATGGCACGTATAATAATCGCTCTCCCCCGATCCTGTTATCAACCAGATGGGAGATTAATTTTTATTTGGCTTCTTGAAATTCATGAAAGCCTTCGAAGGCTTCGTCCCGAGGTCGAGTCTTGAAGAAAAAAAAGAAAAAAAAAAAAGAAAGGAAGAAAGAAAGTACGTTGAGAGATTAGGAAGAAATATCGTTTCGCATCTGTGTGTTTTTCTCTTTCCCCCTGAGAGATAATTTCGCAATGAACGAGACGATGTAGTTTTGAAAGGGTAGTCGTAAAATCTTTCTCTCTTACGTTTGCTCGCGAACCTAAAAAGTAAATAGTCCAAATTAAACGAACAAAGAAAAAATCGATACATGTGTATTTACAGAGTGGGCCGAAAATCACTTCCTACTGAAATGAATCCGTAATTTTTTTATTATATATTTAATAAAATTAGTTTTTTTCTTATATTGTGGTGTTTTGTCAAAAGAAAAAAAAAAAATAGGTGGGAAAAAAAACTTTTTACCCGTCTATACATATATGTATATGTCTAATGGTATATTTTATTTCTCAATTACAATTCAGAAGCATATCATCGTCCTTTGATATATTGAAAGATTTTTTTACCAACATTCTCGAATTATTAATATTATCGTAATAATACGATAAGAAAAATTTTACTCGTGACCTTAAAAAAAAAAAATAAATAGTAAAATTAAAGAGAAAAATGAGTAGAAAGTTCATCGACATTGGTCCGCGACGTTGCCCGTTACAAACAGGTGTAATGAAGAAAGAGGAGCAGGAGGCGGCGCAGAACGAGAATTCCCCGAAAGAGTCAAACGGTTCAGCGGTGACAGTAGCTACACCTAGCGGCATCGGGACGACGGTGTCGGTGGTGAACGCGAGCAACAGCACGACAACGACGACAACGACGACGACGATGCCTGGTGGAGGCGCTCGCAGCGACGTGGACGAGGAGGAGGAGGAGGAGGAGGCGGCGGGCGAAGAAGAGGAGGAGGAGGAGGACGTGGAGGAAGAGGAGGACGTGGAAGTGGAGGGTGGAGCGGCGCAGGAGGCGGTCGGTGGCGGTTTTCTAGCGAGCGAAGGTGGGGGTGGAGGCGGCATGGCCGGCTTCTGGAGGCAGAGCAGACCCTCCAGTCCCCGCATGCCGCCTCCGGAGCAGCCGGAGCACAGGCCTAAGAGCCGACACGAGCCGGCGCCCGCGAGATACAACAACCTCGGCTACTGGAGGGCCAGGAGAGTCACGTTTTACAAAAATGGCGACCCGTATTTCCCCGGTATCGAGTTCAGGTGAGTCAGGACGGCTGGAAAGGTGGAGAAAATGAAACGCCTTTATCGCTTTATCGCTCGACGCGATCGCACGTCCACGTTCTAGCTTGATTCTTGTGTCGTGTGCACGAAGCAACCAACCGCCTAGTACCAGCGCTTACGCTAGTACCTTTCTTGGATGCAGGTGGCGTGTCCACTCTTCGTGGCCTTGATTCTGCTGCTATGAATGAGATTCTCCCTGCGACACACTAGAAAGATACTAGCGCGTATGCAAACTGCTGTTGCACTGTGGTTTCGTTTCCCCTATGTGTCTCAGAGTTAAGTTGACATTTTGCTGCGTGAACGTTTTTCTTTTCTTTTTTTTTTTTGGCAGTGCAAAACGGAACTTGTTATCGTGGTGATGAACTTGCAGGTTCAAGCCAGGAAGGGACATCGGTTCCCTGGAGGCGCTTCTCGACAGACTGTCCCTGCGGATGGACCTGCCCAGAGGGGCGCGACACATCTTCTCCATGGACGGCGACCGAAAGATCACCCTGGACGAGCTCGAGGACGGCGCCTCGTACGTCGTTTCCAGCTACAAAACGTTCAAGGTGAGCGAGAAAGAACTTTCTATTTATAGGTGATTCTATTTGTCGATAACGTCGCCGGATAAAAATCTCTCGGAGGCCAGAGAAAAAACGAAGGCGGGAATCGTTAAAGGAGGAGGGAAAGCAAAACTGCATAGAGAGGAAGAGCCGTTACTTTCCAATCAGGTTTATTACGCGTGTTTGTTACGGATGTTTCGAGATTACTCGAAAAGGAAAGAAAAGAAAAGAAAAGAAAAGGCCTTAATCGGCCACTGGCGGAAAAGTGGGTCGTTCGATCTGATACATTGCACGAAGAAGAAATAAGGTCCTTAAGACACAGGATCGCGTGTATGTGTAGATCAAATCTCTGGTCAGGTAACAACGCCACCAGCCCCACTCCCTCGAACGACGAGAGAGAACCAATCTCATTACGACAGCGATAATTCAGCCAGCGTGCAAGGACTTGTGCACGGAGGAGAAAAGTAAATATCCTTCTCTGCGCTGGGGTGGTCGTCACCTGGGGCGGTGTGTCGTTGTCGTGTAATTAAAGCGAGCCTCTAGGGCCGGTGTGTAACCTACACACAACACGCGCTTAATATTCATGAGCCAAGGCTCGTGTGCCAAAGAGGTGGTGGAACGGGACGTTGAAACGCCAACGACTTCCACAAATGCGTTCAAATACTTTGAACGTCGTCGTCGGACGACGCGTGTGCATACAGACACGACATCAATAGAAAGTACAAGAGCCCCAGTCAGGTCACGACTGGGTGGTAATTTAGAAGAAAACTGCGTATGTACATTGTTGGGCGGCGATATTTGTGTGTATCTGGCCCAGATCAATCTCTAAGCAGGCCACACGCAATACCAATTTGCCTGGTTTGTCGAATCATTGCTTTCTATCAATCTTCTTCGACGAACGTTCAATTCTGAAGGATTAGTTTCGCTCGAGTCGATCGTGGAGTCAAACAAGGATCATGAGGCTCGAAAGGATCCTCTTCATCGACAAATGTCCAATTCTGGAAGGGTGTGTTTCCCTCGAGTCGATTCTAAAACGCCTATGTTCGTAGGGACTCGAAAGTTGAGGGACGGGTCACCTAAAGAAAAAAAAAAAAAAAATGGTCCAATTAACGGCGAAACCTTTCAGCTCGATCCGTTCAGCCGGAGTGTTCATTATTTTTATGAAGGTGCCGATAGGAAGGATTGGATATCGTTTGCCGTTGCGTCATGCCACGGTGAAGGGTGGCCCACGCCCCAACCTGATTTCTAGGTTTTAAGGTGTGACCAAGCCGCTCGTTATATATCTTATCGTCAGGCAGTTTCAGCCTTCTTACCTCCTCTTAGCTCGTGTGTACGATCCGTTTTATTTCGATCGACGATAGAGTCTCTCGTGCCGGGTCAACTCTTAATCCGGCAAAGTGGCCGAAGCTTATGTTGTACCGATCCTATCGTTCTTACCACCGCTTTTGCATGCCGATTGAAGTTCAGAATCGGTGTGTTCATACACACACCCGTGACCCATATCCATAGATTTCTCTATTCAGCCATTCACCCTTGACCCATATTATACCAAGTCAAAATCGATACTTGACGATTAATGATTTTTAACGATTTGTTTACCACCTGAAATAAATAAATAAATAATTTAAATAAAAAAGAAATAAATAAGAAATTAAATAAATGAAATAAAAAAGAAGTAAACAAGAGAAGAAAATAAGAAATGATAAAGAAACAATTGAAAAAAAGTCACCTCTTTGAGGATGAATTTTTTGAACTTCCGGGTAACATACCAAAGCGAAAATTGTATTGGGTAATTCGTCCATTGTTTACCAAAGCCACGTGGCATGGGAGATGGACGTCTCGCGTAAGTGAATCTGAGCTTTCGTGGTAGGGATGAGAGCGTGTTGGCGAAACGGGGGAGGGAGAGTGTTACCACAGGGTTGGTTGGAAAGCAGGGGGTGAAAAGGGCTGGCCAATTGGGTCTGCGGTTGCGCGCACACACAATTCCACTACCCTCTCGTCTCGCCTCGGTCTCCCGCGCTCAAATGGTACGCCATCCTATTTCTCTTAATGCCTCATTATCGTGCCTCCATGTGCGTTCCGCTCGTCCGCCCTCGTACCTTCATCCCCCACCGAGCCATTAATCCGTCTCTCTTCCTCACTCGTCGTTGCGGATAGAACGGATTGCGCGTTTGAACGATTGCGAGGTTTCTTCACCTCGCCACACCAGGCCTGACCTGAATTTCTTTCCACACGGCGTCACACCGCTCCGGGGAAAAAAAATCTTATCCTCCGTTGATCTTCGCTTTCGAACTAAAAATGTAGGTCGGATGCTCGATCATTTGCCAAATTGTTCATTCACCTTACCTCGCGTTCTCTTTTCGCTTCAAACGATCGTTCGATTATTCCGTAAACGCAAAATTTAACCCATACGTTAGTTTTGCATGCAGTCTTCGGGTTCACCTCACTTTCTTCCCATTCTTCCTCCCGCGTGCACGGTTTTTCACCTATGAATCCGTGCACACACTCGAGTCGAGCTTCGCCTCGGGAACGCATGAATCACGCCGCAGCGTGAGGCGAGAGGTTAGGTTCGTTATTTCCGTTAAGGAGAACCGATGCAGGGCTCTCGAGTCGTAGGGCAAGGGAAAGACCGTATCTCATTGACCGTTGGTCAAGCCCCGCAAGGGATCAATAAACACGACGTTCTCCGCGAACCACCGTCTACGATTCACGAACGATTTCAGCGTTGCTGCTGCTCGCTCTTTCTCTCTCTCTCTCTCTCTCTGTCTTTAGGAACTCTCGACTTCTCTTCGACCAAAGTTCCAAGTTTTCCCTCGTCTTTCTCCTGGAACGGTGAAACCCGTTTCTGTTATTGGGAAATTTATTGGCCAATGGCGTGAAATTGTGAACGACTAGTGGGGGAGGGGTGGGGGGAAGCGATGACGCATCAGAGAGCAGCAACACACGATGAAAAATTAATGCCACGGGATAACGGAAATGACGAGAAACCGGTCGGAAGATATAGCGCCGATTACACTCGCTCCGGCTGTGTGAGTTGACGCAATCAATTATGCTCTCTGACCGTCTCTCGCAACTACGGCGTTACTACTGCGGTCGGAAGTAACAGTTTATTACTACTGCAATACAGTGTGATACACACGTGTTGGTACGCGCGAGACCGACGGCCGTTCTCATCGAGGGAAGCATCGAACGCTACGGGGAACGACAGTCGGCCGATTCGGACGCGTGACAGTGACACGGAACGATGACTGGTCGGGCGTCGATGTCTCCGTCACTTATACAGGGTGGCCACTGAAAGACTGAATGGTACAAAACAAAAGTAACTTTTACAAACATGTTTCTTTAATTCTTTATTATCTTATTTGGAAATAATTGATGGATTTTTTTTCAGTATTATGTATTTTTAATCTCCAAGGGATGCTCCATAACTTACAAAAAAAGATTGAAAATAAACAAGTTACGACTTGTTCAAACCTTTCAGTTTTTCAGTGGCCACCCTGTATTACTTAACCTCCCGCGTACCGTACGTGATCGTGCCGCTAATCTCGGTCCTGTGTTCATATATTGCTAACAATTATTTGTTTTAGTAGCAATATTTGCTTTATTTGCTTTTCAAAGCGTGTTTGTGAATATATATGTCTGTTTTTAAATATAAGTTTCAATTCGAGATTGTTTCTTTATTCAATCTTGTTACTGATTTTTATCCATATTGTGTACTAATAATAAGTTTTAGCTTTAGTAGTGAAATTTTGAAAGTGTATTTTGTTTTTTCAAATATAACTTTCAATTTAGGATCGTTTCTTTTAATCTCTTACGCTGGAATAACGTGTCACGCACGTCGAGAATATTTGGCACATAATTGCAATATTTTCTCAGTTTTAGGTATATTGAAATATGACCCAGGCAAAACATAAAAAATTTATTACTTCTTAGTAATTTCTATCCAGTGATATACCAATGAAATCAAAAAGAAGATGAATTATTGTATACGGTTTGGTCACTCGTTATGGTCCGTCAACCAGTTACTAGCGCAAGAGGTTAATGTTTAATTTTGTTATTGATTATTTGTTATTGTTCGTACATTACTAACAACAAGTTGCTTTAGTAAAATTTTAAAAGTGTACTCATATACTATAACTATGTAATATAACTTTCAATTTATTATGTCAATTTTGTTATTGTTCCTATTACTAACAAGTTGTTTTAGTATAATTTTCAAAGTACACTCATGTATGATTTTTTTCAATATAGGCCACTGAAAGATATAAAACAAAAAATGATATAAAACAAAAATAAAACTTTTTACAAACACACGTTTTCAAAATTTTTTATTATTTTATTTGGAAATATAATTAATGGATTTTTTTCTATAACCTGTAAAAGAAAGAAAATAAAAAAGATTGAAGATAAAGACAAGTTATGACTGTCTCAAACCCTTCAGTTTTTTAGTGGCCACCCTATATAACTTTTAATATAACTCAATTATAAAAATTTAGGATCGTTTTCTATATTCAATTTTGTCGATTATATTTTGATCAATTCCACGAATAACGCAACAAAACACGTAGCCCATAAATTGCTACCTTTGCAGGCGATACTTTACAATTGAATAATCGCCGCCGTTGTTTCTTTCCAATCGGCGATGGCACGCTTTCGAGCGTAAGACGACTCGTCACGCACGTTTCATGCTCGTTCTTCATTTTCATATCGCTCCCACCTCGCGATAGCGAGCCCTCTTTTCATTCTCGAGCGCGCGTTTTCGTCCCCTCCTCCCCGTGAAATTCATAAGCGACGTTAGCACACCAGGTAGCCGCGGCCAGCAGCGTTCCTCGAAAGAAATAATTGTTGACCGGGCTGAAATTCGTGTCAGCCACCGTGATATGTCACGAACTCCAACAGCCAGACAGAAACTTCTTGCACGTATCTGGCCTACATGCGTCACGAAATCACGTTCCCAGAGGTAGGAGATATTTTCTAAAAAGCGAATAAAATATGTAATTACGAGAATGAACGCGATCGTCGCCTTTTGTCCCGACGAAAGTTTTCACGCGAGGATATTTCGCAAAAAGCAACGCGACACGTGACAGAGAAAGAAATTTTCGATAGTGGCGCAATCTTCGTGAACCAAATTCTAACCCTAGTAATATATAGCTCTTATCGTTTTTTTTTTGCACCGAAATATATTGCATGCACGTCCGCGAATTAATTACACGTACTCTCGACAGAAGGGGGACAGATGAAGAAACCTGGGGGGGGGGGGGCGGTCGACGATAAACTAACCTGCCTCGAGCTCGTAAATTTTTTCGATATCCACCTCCCTCCTCTCTCTCTCTTAGCGGTTGTTGTTTATCGTTGTTGGCCATGATTGGTGCATGACTGACGGCAGTCCACTTTAATTGATATTATTACGTCGATTCTGCGAGCGATTACACTCCGGCTTGCCGAATAATTACACGACCGTTCGATCCGATTCCAAACATGGGTAGAATTCGAGCAACGAGGTCCCCCACTGAAATTTTTATATTTCGTCTCTATGCCCTTTTTTTGTATATTTTTAGTAATATTCTTATATGTATATTTAGTGATATTCTTATTATACTTATCTTTGGAAATCTTTACTAGGTTTTGTAAATACGCGAGAGATGACGTTTAATCACACGTTTTGCTTTCTCTCTCTCTCTCTCTGCAGCATAAAATTTCTAGAGAAAGAAAATGTTGTTTAATGGTACAGTAGCGCCCTCTTAAGCTTTCGGTCCATAGTCAGGATCGAGAAGAACTTTACCACGTTATTCGATTGCAATGAAACTTAACATTTTAACGTTATGTTTCAATTTACTACATTTAAACTACTTTGAATTTAATACGTGCATACTTTACAAACTTAAAACATTTTAAATTAAATACACACGTACTTTTAAACATAAATAAAGCAGTAATTATCGAGCTAACTGTAATTAATCTAAATTTCGCGAAAATTCATTGAAATTTCTATAAAAGTAGTTGTCGATCAATAATTATCAATTAAACAGAAATCTTGAACAAAAAAGTCGTGTTACATTTCCATTCAATGTTAAATTAACAATACACGTAGTACGATTCTACGATCGTATTAACACATATAAATACACATACATGTATTTATTATTTAATATAAAATTTCCTTTATTAACTTTGGTCGATATGCTTGATCCGAAACGATCATAATGTGCCGAAATATCGCTTGTTTTCTCTCCACGTTTCGCATGGTAAGGTAGCGTGGAGTGGGGATAGTCGGAATTCCAAGAATTGGTGGGGACTAACGTTTAAGTGGGCACTCGTGTATTCTCGTTGTATTCCAGTAATCTGCATGAAAAAAAAAACATTAGGAAACTTGATACACCTCTCGAGATCGATCTTCGTAGACCGTAAGGAATGCTAATAGCAACAAACGGCGTGAGACTGTTTCAGTTCGCCCTTCCCCTCGCGAATGATCGACACACGCGATTGAAAAACCTGCATAAACGAAAGGGGACGGTGTGAGTACGAGTTGAAAGTGAGTCCCGAGAGTGTTGATCCGTTACCTACTTTCTTTCCCGCTTCTCGTCCCACTGTCACGAAACACGCCGACTCTTGTTTCTGCTCGCATTGTAATCCGTAGCGCGGATCATTTATCGCCGGTTGTCGCGCTGAATATGCATGAGGCTTGGATTCGAAACAAATGAATTTCGGTGAGGATCGAAAACGTGAGGAGAGGAGCGGGATTTTCCAAGAGAATCGGTCGCGAATCCGTCGGTTTACCCTCCGTCGGTGCGTATTAACGCCTGGGTGCTCTGCACGTACCGTTTATCGCTCCAGATGACGTGTACACCTCGATCGACGATATGTAAATCACTGCGGCATCCCTCTCTGCCGGTATGGCATTCGTTGCCTTTTAACCGGACTGTGCCTGCACGCTTGTCGCAGAACGTTCGCAGGACAACTACCCTGTGTGTTACACCTGCTCTCTTTCTCTCTCTCTCTCTCTCTCTGTATGTATGTGTGTGTGTGTGTCTGTGTTAGTGTGGCACGCTTGCTCGTCACGCACTCCTGTAATATATGTCAATTACAATTTCAACTTCTTGCATGCATAAGCAGCTCCGACAGTCCCTCCCCAGATTTCCTTCCAGTGAAATGCAGAACGACGTAAAAGTAAGGGAATTCTAAATTTTGACGTTTCAGAATCGGACAAACGGGCTACTATTGCTCCTACTTCTTTCAAAAGAGGCTGGTTTAGCCTTTAAAATAGGATGGTAATGTAGGGTGGGCCAAAAGTTTCTTCCAATTTTTTTTTTTTTCTAACATATATAAATATAAATATAAGAAAAATTTTTTATTAATTTCAGATTAAATTTAAGTTCAAGTAATTTTATCAATTTTAAATTAAATCCAAGTTCAAAACGATGATTAACTTACTCCTTTCAGAAATGAAAAAAATTATGACTTTGGCGGAGAGTGATTTTTTTTGGCCCACCCTGTACAATCTTCCTTTGGCTACGTAGAAATTGTAATGACCAGAGTCTCCTGGTAATATATCAGATTAAGTGACATTAACCACACGACGTAACTGAGTGAAACGTTTTCTGTTCAGGCACATGTGACGCGGACGGTTCTTCTTCTAGCTCCATGTGGGCAATTTTTTTATTAACGGCTTGCACAGAGCGTGCACAGAGCTAATATTAGGCAACGATCGTCGTGAAAAACCAGGGTTGTGTTATACGACACGTGAGATCGCGGATAAGGGGGAAGAAAAAGAAGAAAAAAAAAAAATGTTTCGTGTTAATCGGTCCGGGCTGAATTAACCCAACGATCGCCCGACTTATCGGTGCAACGGCGAGCCTTATCACTCGCCAATTATCGTGCCGCGCGCGTGCATCGAGTGCCGTGTGAGAAACTTGTTGGAAAACAGAAACACACTTTTTCTCACCGCAAATTCGTATCAATTTTATATATATATATATATGTATATATGTATATAAAATAAATAGCTTTCTAATCTACGTTCCTCTTCGTCCGAATGATAGTCGTTGTTCTGATCGGCTCGGCGTTGCAAATGATAATTTCTAGCCAATGACCTGGCTGGTTGGTCAAAAGGTTAAGGGTTGAAGTACAGTGAGGCGACCTTTCGACGGTCTCCGCTCTCTTATCATCAAGGTAAACGGCCAACACGGATATTCACCCTGTTGTGTGTTGTGAGAGCAACGTTTCGATTTGGAGAAGCGAGACCACTGAAGTCTGAACCCCTGTGAAATATACGTCGATATGAATAAATGTCGAGCAAGTCTCCGAATGGATTGATGGAACAACGTTGCATGAATTATGCAACGAGGAAACGGTAACGATGCAAAAAAACATGAAGGTTGGAACATTCCTGATAACCTTTGGTGGCTGATATTCTTATCAGAATCCTGGTAGTACAGTCCATGGGCAGTTGGAAAGTGCTAGATTTCATTTTCGCTGAAACTGGCGGGACAACGGGCAGCCACTAAACGATGATGCATCGAGAAAGTTTGTTCTCGCACACCTGAAAGCAGATTGAGTGAATAGCACGCACTGTGATCCGATGAACATTTAGATTGAGTGTAAAAATTATTTGACGAGATTTGACAAGATTGAAAAGTAAACGAAGAGGAAAGAAATTAGGAAAGTTCTCTGTTTGTGTCGCAATTTAATTGAGCAAATACCGTGCGACACACGAGTTACCGTGCCAAGGAAGATGAATCAACAAACGAGGGGGGTAGACGACCGGTTAAATGCGTGAAAAGGTTAAGGGTTGTAGCACCCATGGTGAACCCAGAGGAGGTGCACCCACGCGTACTTTCGTTTGCACCTTCCATTCGATCGGCATCGCGTACCCAACAGCTGGAAGATTGTTGCACCGTGGCCTTGGCCTTGCAGACAAACGTATGTAGCGACTCACACATGCTCGCGAATCGTAATTTATGGGAACGGCGTCGTAAATTATGATGCGAACCAGCTAGAACTCCCTCGTGAATGGACTCCTGTTTCTTTCTTTCGTTTTTCCTTCCACTTCGAGCCACGTTCGTTCTTTTTTCCTCCAGCGATCGAAATAATATTTATTCGACGTTGAAGAATGTTCGCCTGAAACGTAGAAACTTATAGACAACAGGCAAGACTATAGAAAGAAGGGAAAAGATAAAATTACATACCCATACATGTTTATCTATTTTGTAAGTTACGAACTCCTTCTTTCTATCCACCCTGTATGTCGTAATCGTTTCAATTCCACTCCGAGTCGAGTTCGACGTAGCTGTTCGAAAGCCGGAGCACGCAATATTTATGTGAACTTTCGTTTCAATGTTAGCGGCAAACACTTGTAATTACCAGGATTAAGATCTTTCTACGACGTTGTGCTTTCCACGATGTCGATGAAAGGCTGTATTTTTAGTCCAACGATTTATTAATAGACACTTTTGCAAGCAACGGACCTTACGAGACCGTTCGTGATCATTCCGATTGAGAGAGAGAGATTGTAGATCTCTTCGTTCGGTGTTGATCAGATCGTGGAAACAAAGTTGAGTCGTGAACGAAAGCTTCGATGGTGATGCAAGGAACCATCTCTCTCCTCTTGCAGAACCACATAGTTACACATGCAGCTGCTTGCACTTGGAACGACAGGCCTTCCAAATAGTAATAATAAAGAGGCCTTGGACAGGAATTCATGAAGCTCGTTAAGAGTCCAGCACGTGAGAGATTTCATTGCTGGCGCTGAAATTCATGTGGCGTTTGTTACACTGTAGTGGAAACTTACATAAATTGTACTATTGTTACACGTGGTTCAATCGCAACGCAATTAGCCATTCCATTGTAGAAATGCATTTCCTCGGGATCCACCCACTTCCAATCGATCCTTCTCGATTCAAGCTATCGCTGCCAGTTCTCACAAAGTGCAAGAAAAACACCGCATACTTTTCCCACTGTCCAGATGTTCCTCTGCCTGCAAAGCTCCCGTGTCCCGAGTCCATTAAACGTCTCTCACTCGCAATCAGTTACGTCGCCGTGAGTACTTGTTATATCTCTGCAAGAGTAATTTAAACTTGAACTGTCTTCGATCGCCCGCGATGTGACGTCTTTGAACAAGTGCATACGTCTTTTTCTCGGCGTGCAAAACCCTCTTCGTTGAAAAACCCTGAAAGAAGGAAAGAAAGCGTGAGAACGGTTTCCCTAAGGGTTGAGCTTACGTCACAGAGGGTGCATTACCGGAAGGGTTGCACCGGTCTCGAACGCTGTGCGAGGGAATGAGAGGGTCGCTTTGACCTTCACCCTGTGTTAATCTATGCTTCCATTATCATACCAATCCCATCAAAGCTGGCATTGCATTGTAACTGCACGAGGATGAACGTAGAATTCAACTATTGGTCGATCGAGCTCTTATCTTTTTCGATGATGAATTTCACCTGGGTTACCTGTTTCTACAATTGTCGTTGGAAAACGATTTAACGCGAGGCGAAATACCTTGCAATGACGCACAGTTGCGGAGTTTTGTGAAATTTTCGTTGGCTTGACAAATTTGGAAACATCTCCAGTACAACGATGTATATTCGATTGCAAGGTCATCGAATCTCTGGCATTCTGCCGGCAGGCAGCGTGCGTGTCTCGAATTCATAAGTCGGTTTATTAGACTGTTAGCGTCGTTAACGTTCTTTTTTTCTTCATTTTCTTCTTCTTCCTCCTACTCCTCCCCTCGCCTCTCTAGCTCACTTTGAATATTGACCTTATTTAGTCAACCAAGATAATTGGCCCCGACACAATGCTACTCCTTTTTTTTTTTTCTCTCCCCATTCTGGACCTTGCTCCACGTCAGGGCGTGGGCTTCGTGCTTAATTCCAAGGAATGCTTTCAACCTCGTTTCCTATCGCGAGCCCTCATTTGCGAGCGTGTATCCTTATTAACAGGTGTCCGTCAAGCTTCCATTTAAAACATGAAATCTCTCACCCCGTCCATCGTGATTTAACCATCGTGCCGTCGAAGAATTACGTCGGGGCTGTACTTTGCTGGAATCAACGATATGGAAAAGCCTCGTGTTACATGTGAGAAGAAAAAAAAAAGAAAATCTCGCACACGTGAGATGAAGATAAACAAAAAATAGTACACTTACGGTATATTACCTTTAGGCCGATACGCGATACGGATAAAACTATGCATACGGTAGAGCGACGTAAAAATTTCGTAATCTTCTCGAATGGAAAATTAAGCTAACCACTAGCTTGCTTGAAAACGATCGGAGAGTTGGCCTTCGATCGAGAAAGTTGGCGTGAAGTGATCATTTTTCATCGGAGGGTGAAAGGAAATTTTGAAAAATTCCAACGCGCGGCGAATCCAGTGTGTTATAGCTGGCGAGCGATTTGGCGAGCTATAGACAAGCTCTCTCTAGTACTAGAGGGTGGCTGTTTGGCCTTGAGACACGATGGCTCTCCTGGAAAGCGGAGGGGGAGGGTAGGGGATGTTGCAGCCAGGGGGCTGGTTCTCCAGTCCAATGAGGCAGCATACACCCCGCCTCCAGTTGTCCATCGAACACTGTCGGAGTTGCACCTTCGTGGCACAGCCCTCTCACGGCCCTCTCTTCCTCTGAACGCCACGTTCTCGCTCGTTCTGTTCGCTTCTTTCTTTCTTGAGAACAGTCGCATCGACACTTTTCCATCAAAAATTTTCCCCTTTTTCTCCAACTCGTGCCAGTTAAAGTCTTCCAGTTTACTTGAGCTGCAGTTACCTCGTTATTTGTGAACTGAAATCATTCAATTTGTTTTACATACATTCACACTGTCCGAAAAGAATTAAAAAAAAAAATAAAAAAGTGATTGCCAAGAGCCACAGTGACGCAGTGACTGATAAGAGAGAATGTGAAGAGGCAAGGATAAAGCTGAGTGAGAGAAAACGTTTCACGTTTTGACCGACTGCGTGTATCGTCGAGTGAGACTACAGTGATTTAGGTTCACCATTGAGTCGGCAAGTTCCTCGTCCCGCTCGGACTTGGAGCCGGACTTTGGCGCCGGCGAAGAGAAGGCGGACTCGTACTACAGCGAGTCCGAGCTAGAGTCCTACAGCCCGAAATCGTGGGAGGGCTGCGACAGTTTCGTCGTGTTGATGAGCGATTCCTTTGAAGTGATATCGCTGCCGGCCGACATGCTCCAGGTCCCTCAAAATTCCATATTTCTCCCAATGTTAACCTCTTGTGCTGGAATGAATTTTTTGTTCTAAATTGCCAACATTTTCTCAACACAGTTTTAAATATTATACTACACTTAATAATATATTAAGTATTATACTATATTTAATAATATATTACATAACAATATTTTATAATATATTTATAAATGTAACCTAAAGGCAAAGCAAATGATAAGTGTATTACCTCTTAATATAATTTCTATCCAGTGACATCATACCGACGAATTTATTGTATACGCTTTGGTCCCTCGTTATGGTCCGCGAACCAGTTGCCAGCGCAAGGGGTAAAATCTATTCCTAAAATATTTTCCAACGTTAAGTCTAACTTCAATTAATTCTACTCCCATTTCTAACGTTAAACGGAGATTTTCTGTGATACAAGAGCCAGCATTCTTAAGTTTCAAAAGGCATTTGCAACCAAATGCGTGTCTAACCAAATTTTGCCCCGGTGTCGAACGAAATGAAATCAATCCTCTGGCGTTTGCGTGACATGTTTTCTAATTAATCGTTGTCAACGATAGCCGGCCAGCTATGGGAAGAAGAGCAACACCTGGTACACGAGTCCCACCGGCGGTGGTAGCAGAGGTGGAGCGAGCGTCGGAGGTGGCGTCGGTGGATGGCAAAGTAGACCACCGGCGGTGGCGAGTCTCAGCAGGAAAGCTTCCATCACTGACGAAGCACCACCTCCTGGCGGTGGAAAGCCATCCTCGGGACGTGTCATACGAATCGTTAACAATCACGATCACACCGTACAGGTAGTTTACAGAGATTACACTTGCAATTCCTTTTTTTTTTTTTTCTTCTCTCCCTCGACGAGTCGAACAATCGAAATAATTTCAGTGCCGCGTCTTGCTGAACCTCCGCACTTCGCAACCGTTCGAGGAGGTGCTGGAAGATCTTGGACAGGTGCTGAAGATGAACGGGGCCAAGAGGATGTTCACGGTTTCAGGTCAAGAGGTAAACGAAACTGCAAAATGAAAAACTAAGTATCAGCGATGAACAACATTGCGAGAGAGAAATGACGTACGCTCGTTGATCGATTGGTGCCACAATTGGGTTCGTGAACGACCGAAAAACGTGGGCGAAACTCGAAAGTTTATCAGCGATTTATGCAAATCGAAGACATTGGCTCGGCATCGTACTTATAAAATCTGCTTGAATAATGCTTTGTCCATAAATATGCATGCGCCGGTGTGGGGCAGAAGCGTCGGAACGAAGCGTGACGATATCGGGGTCGACTTCATCGCAGTGGGACGGGGTCGTTGATTAACTCTCTCTTGAATCGTCTCCAAAAAAAAAAAAAAAAAAAAAAGAAACAGAAAAATCCTTCTGTCACACAAATGTCCAAAAATCTTGAAAGAATTTAGAAAGCAAAATGAAACAAGTCACTCGGGGGAAATTTCACTTTGGTAGAACATTCTTTGGTTCTCGATTACATGGAATAAAAGATAAATGAATGGCGTCGTTTCTGATTCTGTTGTTCTTTTCGACTCGGATTTTCCCCAACAGCCAGATTGTACGTTCCACCGATCGTGACTTCGTTACAAGTTAGAGGCCCGCCGGGGAGGAAAAAAGGTCAGAGATCCATCTTTTCAGGTCACGACCGTATATGAATTTCAAATTGGCCAATTTTCCTTAGCGAGCATTCGACTGCCTCATGCATCATCCTGTGTATAACACTATGTGTCGTCTACGTCACAGTGACGTCCTATCACCAATACGATCCCGACACGGAGACAAAATCCTCCCATTCATCCGTTTTAACCTCCTGCGCTGGATTGCCATGCACGTCGTCGAATCTTTTCTCCCAAATTGCAACATTTTCACAGTTTTTAAATATATTTAAATGTAACCCAGGCAAAACAGATGACAAGTTTCTTACTTCTTCAATCATTTCTATCCAATGATATCGTTGCCGATATCGACGTGTTCAAGAGAAAAAGAAAGCAACGAATTAATTGTATACGATTCGGTCACTCGTTATGGTCCGCGAACTGCCAGCGCAAGAGGTTATATATCGCTTGATACAATGTAACGTCACTCCCTCGCGTGTGTCCCCTGTAAATCTGCACGTTCTCGAACATTTGTCAACCATCGCCGCCACCAGTGGTAATCTCGCGTTTTGGCAGGTGAGAAGCTTCTCGCAGCTGAGAAACGAATTCGCCGACGTGGACACTTTTTATCTGGGCACTGGATCGGGGATGGGTATAGCCGGTGCTGTAACTGCGTCCCCGGCGAGAAGATCCAGATCACGTGGACCGCCCACCGTGGTCGAAGACATCGGCCGTCAGAGGCGAGCGCGTAGCAAAAGCCGGCCACGTGCTTTGTACGCCCCTGATTCAGACGTCGTCCGAGTAAACGGTTCTCCATATAATCTCTTCGTTTATCCATTAATATATAGGGTGGTCACTGAGAAACGAAAAGGGTTGAAAGAGCAGGAAAATGAAGTAACACTGAAGAAAAAGAATCCATTAATTATATTTCCAAATAAAATAATAAAAAAATTAAAGGAACACGTGCTTATAAAAGTTACTTTTGTTTTATGTCGTTCAGTCTTTCAGTGACCACCCTGTACAAACACACACTTTTCTAATTTATTATTTCATTTGGAAATATAATTAATGGACTTTATTTTTAATCACCAAGGGATGTTTTATAACCTACGAAAAGAGAAGACAAAAAAGATTGAAAATGAACGAGTTATGATTTCAATTTTTTCAGTGGCCACCCTATACGAATACATCGATTGTCGAACCGTGGATAACGATACTAAACGTGGCACGTTTACACCTTTTCCTAAACAGATTACAGTGTGGTCGAGGTGCTACGAGACGAGCCGGCCAGAGTGACTATCCGAGGGCTGAGAAGATCCTTTTACCCACCTTCCCATCTGCCACCAGTGGACAATTCACCGCCGGATAAGAAGCTTCAGCTTGAATGGGTTTACGGGTATCGGGGCACCGATACCCGACGAAATCTCTGGGTTCTGCCGAGCGGGGAACTTTTGTATTACGTCGCTGCCGTGGCTGTTCTCTTCGACAGAGAGGAAAATGCACAACGGCATTATGTGGGCCATACGGAGGACATCACGTGTATGGAGGTAAAGAGGAGAACTGTATCAATGATAATGAAAGATTGTCGATAATTCAAAATACCGATGTAACTTCGTAAAGATGGATCAATTTTAACCACTTGCGCTGATTGTGGACCATAACGAGTGACCAAACCGAATTATACAATTTCTTTTCACACTCGTCGGTATGATATCGCTGGATAGAAATTATTGAAAAGTAATAAATTTATTGTTCGTTTTGCCCGGGTTATACTTAAATATACTTAAAACTGAAAGAATATTACAATTTTGCAACGAAACATTCTCGACGCGCGTGGCACGCCATTCCAGCGCAAGAGGTTAAATAACGAGTTGTAATCGACCGGGGGGAAAAAAATGTTACAGAGATCTGAAACGGACAATTGTGCGTCAAAGTAGAGAAATGCAAATGGATGATCTAGTCCGATTTCATTTATTTATCAGTCAGTCGAGAGAAATGTAAAACAAATTTAATCGAACGTATCAACGTGTCTGCTTGACGCACAGGTTCACCCGAGCAGAGAGCTGGTGGCATCTGGACAAAAAGCCGGTAGACATAGAAAAGCGCAGCCACACGTTCGCATATGGTCAACAGAGACTCTGCTCACATTGTACGTGTTCGGAATGACCGAATTCCAGATGGGTGTCTCCGCGTTGGCGTTTTCACAGTTGGTAAAGTATTCGTAATTGTGGTCTTGTCCATGACGTGACGCTACATCGAAATAACATATAGTACAGTAGCCCTCGCTCAAATGAAAGTTGGTTTCGTGTTGTCAAGTGTCATGTTTCACGTTAAGTTAGCGTAAAGTGGGGGGATAGTCCTTATTCTAAGAACTGGTGGGGATAGCGACGAGCGCTTAAGTGGGGACTATTGTATAGAAAAGAATTGAGTAACGAGTTTACTGTGTTACATTGGTTGTTGATACGCAGAACGGGGGTAGTTACGTGCTAGCGGTTGACGCCGGCAGGGAGGCGATACTCTCGGTGTGGCAGTGGCAATGGGGCCATTTGTTGGGCAAAGTGGCGGTAAGTTGTTCTCCACCTACTTCGCGCATGCTACAACGTCATGATCATACATCATAGTATCTGTGTGTTGTGTAACAATGGCGACTCTTTCGCAGACCATGCAGGAAGATCTGACCGGCGCAGCTTTCCATCCTCTCGACGACAATCTGTTGATCACGCACGGCAGGGGCCACCTGACCTTTTGGAACCGGCGAAAAGACGGTTTCTTCGAGAGGACGGACATCATCAAACCTGTAAATTGCAACGAATAATTAGAAATAAAAATAGTCGTGTGTTCATCCATCTAGTTAGTTCATCGACTCTGGTTCCTTATGACTTTAGCCGTCCCGCACGCACGTGACGAGCATCCAGTTCGAGCAAGACGGGGACGTCGTGACGGCGGACAGCGACGGTTTCATCACTGTTTACTCCGTGGACGCGGACGGCGCGTACTTCGTGCGAATGGAATTCGAGGCGCACAACAAAGGCATTAGCTCGCTTGTTATGCTGTCGGAGGGGACGTTGCTCTCCGGCGGTGAGAAGGACCGCAAAATTGCCGCGTGGGATTCACTCCAAAATTACAAACGCATCACGGACACCAAAGTACGCGCGCCACGTACACAAATCAGTATAGATTTTTTGAATTAAATGCGAAGCGTAACGTGTGATTTCTGACACTTACAATATATATATATATATATATATAGTTACCAGAGGCGGTGGGAGGTGTGCGAAGTATCTACCCCCAGAGGCCGGGAAGGAACGACGGGAACATCTACGTGGGAACTACCAGGAATAACATTTTGGAAGGTTCTCTTCAAAGAAGGTTCAATCAAGTCGTGTTCGGCCATGGGAGGCAGTTGTGGGGCCTTGCGGTGCATCCCGACGACGAGGTGTTCGCCACTGCCGGCCACGACAAGAATATTGCGCTTTGGCGCAGGCACAAACTCTTGTGGACGACGCAGGTATTCATTTGAACGTCCCAAATTAAATTTTATCTCTCGGTTAGTTAAGTCCAGAATTTAAATTTAACTCTTGAACGTTAACCTGTCTCCCCAGGTCGGTTTCGAGTGCATTTGCATAGCTTTTCATCCTTTCGGTGTTGCCCTTGCTGCTGGTTCTTCCGAGGGCCATCTTCTGGTGCTGGCCGCGGACACAGGAGCAGCTGTAGCGACCCTCAGAGTCTGTGGCTCGCCCTTGTCATGCATTGGCTACAATCCAAGTACGACACCTTTACAAAACGTATCTTTATATCTGTGTACGTTGATCGTAACGAGACATTGATTTCATTGAACAGCGGGGGAAATTGTGGCGATGGGCTCCCAGAATGGCAGCGTATACCTATTTAGAGTGTCCAGAGACGGATTCTCGTATAAAAAGAGCAACAAGATCCGTGGAACGCAGCCATTGGTGCAGCTCGATTGGAGCTCTGACAGCAGATTTCTTCAGACTGTTACGCAGGACTACGACTTAGTATTCTGTAACATTGTTTTCCTTTTCTAATTAAATTGAGCTTTTAGCTGAGAGTGACTGTAACGCGATAAATAAACTTCTCAGGGGACGTGAAAGCTTTGTCATCGGAGAAGAGTCCACTGGTTATGAAGGACGTTAAGTGGTACACGCATAATTGTATGGTTGGATACATGGTATCTGGTAAGTATACAGAGGCCCTACAATATAATTACGACGTTACTAAAAATTAATAGTATTATATTATATTAAAATATAATATATAATATTATTATATTTATAACAATAATAATATAATTATAATATATAATATATATAATATAATTATAATATATAATAATATATAATATATAATATTATATTATTATATATAATAATAATGTCATAAGGTTATTAATATATAATGATACTAATAGTAATTATTATAATATTATTAATAATGTAGTACAATGTTATACTAAATTATATTAAATAATATTATTTCCAGGAATGTGGAACAATCGTTACTACCCGTTAACGACTGTTCTAACTACGTCAAGTAGATCAGCAGCTCACGACATGCTGGTGAGCGGCGACGCGGAAGGTTACCTGAGACTCTTCAGGTATCCGTGCACCAGTGCTAAAGCCGAATACGTCGAGGAAAAAGTATACAGTTCTCTAGTGGCTTGCGCCAGATTTCTCTACAACGATCAGAATGTGGTCACCGTCGGTGGAACCGACGCTGCGCTCATGCTTTGGGAACTAGTCGACGAGTAGACGAAACGACTACCTCTTGTCATAGATTTCGCCTTTGTCTTCTACAGTCCGGCAGCTGGACTAATCGCGCGATCCTTGCGAAATCGCGGGACGATCCGTCCCGTCGTGGAACTTTTTTTAATACCGGCGAAGCAAACGTTTATCTTATCGTTGTGCTGGATGCAGTTCAATAACATGTATGTATTCGGTAATTCCGCCTCGGCAGAGGAATTTGTATACTTGCCGATACGATAACGTTTTCTCATTCAACGTGATTCAGTTACAAGGTACTTTTCTTAGGACGACAGCGTGCTCGTCGTTTATTATCAAAAATCCAATTTTACGAATCTGAAAATTGTCTGGCATTCTCATGGCCTTACGTTTGTATCTGTGGACCTTGGACGAGAAGACATTTTTAAATACAGTTTTAAGTACAACACGGTTCACGCTTCTTTTCTCGGAAGGGGAAAGAAGTAACTTGACATTTGTAAGGGAGAACTGTTCTCCGTTTTAGCGAAGGGAAGATAAGATCTGTTTGATACATATTGCATTGAAAACGCTCTCGAAGTTGCGCGCCGTGCAGGCGCGGTTACTTTCACTTTTTAACGTCCGTTGCCATTTCATACAGCATCTTACAAATTTTTCCAAAGACATCCTCCCCCGTTACACGATATTTTTGATTATTATTCCCCCGTGTTCGACCATTTGACCAGAATTTCTTGACAACACACTCGACAATAGCTGCAATAAAGAACAAGGATCTGTCTTTCCTTCTTTCAACTATTTTGCCATTGTTGTGTTACGATTTCTTGTAATATGTACATTTGACGATAACAGCGGCGAAACGATAATGTTATCACTCTACAACGATGCAATACATTATTAAAAGGCGTAATGGAAACAAAGTAGGCACACGTTATATGTGTATCTAGTAAGAGTACTAAAAAAAAAAAAAAAACAAAAAAAAAAAAAAAAATTGGGAAAAAAATCTTTTTCCTTTTTTTTTTTTTTACGATGGGAGGGAAAAAAAAAAAAAAAACAAAAAAAAAAGAAAGAAAAACAAAAGAAACATATGCACGTTCAGGAGCGTGCAATATTTAAGGCGCTGGCGCCCCTCGGTAGATTTTAAGTAATGAATATAGATTTTAAACAAACGTTGAGACGAAGATACGGATGAATGTTACACGCACTCTCGTGTCGCGACGACGGTCAATTTGTTTCTCTTCATTGTTTCGAAGATTTTAGAGAAAATGCTGTTGCGGGTCAACGCGCCTCTCCGTCGATTTTTCTTCCCCTTTTGTTCACACCCATTTCTAGAGAGAGAACAAAGTTGATAAAATATAGGGAAAAGTATACAGAGTTTAAACGATATGTTACTATTAAAGAAATATATATATTATATATATGTATACATAGTGGTAGATGCAAATGATAACACTGAGAATCTCTCATGTTAAGCTATGCTCGGGATCGTCACTGCCATGGCATCGAGTTCGAAATTTTTTCACAGCCTGCATGTTGGAAAATACATGCTGCTTTCTCTGTCGGTGATTCTGATTGATCACCGTAAACCAAATCTTTGTTAACATTTCATTGACACTGTGCCCTTGCGTTATTGTATTATTGAATATTTGGGCTGCACTTGTTACTTTCTTGAAAGAAATTTGCAAATCATTTTTGGAATGAGAGATCTTGAAATATCCACGGAAGCGAACAAATTCATGTATACTGTGAGAATCAGTATAAAAGAGGAAAAAAAAAAGAAAAATGTTTCAATAGCAGGCGTAAACTGAATTTTGGTCTTCGATGCGTCCTGAAACAAAAACGAAAAGGATTCAAACGATCCCTCGAATCTTTAGCATAAAATCGTAACAGTGTAGGAAAGCTATCTTAATAAATTCTGCACATTAGATACAAAACGATTCAATCATTACCACCAACTATTAAACACACTCTAAAAGATCAATTAAGAATTTTGTTTTTTTTTTTTTTTGCTATAGGTAATCGAGTGAAGAGTGAAGTATACACAGCTAGTAACTCAAACCGATTCTTTATTATTAATAATTTTATTTCTTACACTATAAGTGCTCTTGATAAGCGTCTAAGTGGTTCATTTTCTTTTCATCCTCTCAAACGTAACACACTCACGTCTCCTTTCCTCCTCTGAAAAACATCTTTTCTTTATCTTTTTATCGAACAGCGTATCGCACCAGCCGACAACTATTCAAGGATAAAAAGGTACGAACATGTCGGACACATTCGTGTTCGAGACGTTTATGCGCCAAGGAAAGCAGCTCAGGGAAAACAATGGTTTTTAAAATTTAAAGGAAACAAAAACAAATAAATAAAAAATATATATATATATAATCAATGGAATTTCTTTAAGAGAAAAAATCAATTATTATTAATTACTAAACAATTTTTTTGTCCATCGTGTTTTCAATCTGTTTCAATGCTTAATTCGTTTCACGGTATGCCACGCTCTGCATCTCATTGTCAATTTAATTCGCAATAAACAGTGCGTGAAAAATGACTCTCTTACAAATGGAATTTCAATAAATAACGTATAATTACGAGCGTAAGCGCATGAAACATTCTTGAACAGGAATGTTTCGCGGAACGTGCAAGAAAGTTTTGAATCGAAAACAAAATCTCGTTCCAAACTACAAAGTGAAACTGCCGGGTGATTATTCCATTCTTCTTCTATGATATACAGACTAGATAATACAAGAAGGAAAGCCGCCTGTACATCCACGTTCTGGAAGCTTTCGTAATATTTTCTTTTTCTCTTTGTTTTATCTCTAATATTAACAATCGCACGGCCATCGATTAGTCTCTTTAGACACAAGTATCAGCTTCTTTTTTTCTTTTTTATTCATTCACTTTCTCCACACAATATTGAGGTTTTCAGTGTCGTTTATGCACTTCATAACTAATTATATTTCATTGGTAATTTCAGACAAGTCCTAAAATTGGAATAGATTCGAATTTTAAAATATCTTTTCTCTTTATTGAAATAAATAACAAGTCTTACGACGATTCTAGTGAATTTCTTGGCAAATCTTTTCGATTTTTGCGTACAGTTCCAATTCAGTAAATCAATACTTGTAAAAAAGTTGTCAGATGTAACATTTCGATCCAATCTTTTCCAATGGGAAGAATGATTTTCTAAGTAGATAACTTTTAGTATTTTACATCCAAATGGCAAGTCTTATCTACTAATCTGGATCGTTATAACCACAACAAGCACAAAAAGTACCAAAAGCTTTAACATTGTATAAAATAGAACGAATAAAAAGAAAAAAACCTGATACCTAGGTTTAAAAATTATACCTTATACCGCGGTTCTACGCGGAGTTAAGATACAACAGGGGGATCATTGACCTCCGTCGAGGACGGGCTCTAATCGCGGCGCGGCAGGAGCTCCGTGATGGATTTCTTAAAGCTTCACTGACCGCGCCGAGGTAGGCCACTGTAGAGGTTTTAGCCGGTAAAAAGTCCGGCACTACCCCGCAAACTGTTCCTCCACGGAATTAAGTTGGATTCTCCAAGTTTTTCCTCTCTTCATTCTTTCGCTCCTCTTCCGATTTTCTCCTCTCTTCATCCTTTCGTTCTTGTTCCGGTCTACTCCTCTTTTCGTCTTGTCTCTCCGTTTGTTCCAATCTCTCTCCGTCCTCCTTTTGTCTCTTCTTTGTTGCGTTTTTCACAAAATTATTTAAACTGCCGTGTGACGGGCCAGCTTTAGTGAACAAGTGGATCGGCCGTTGAAATCCCTTCGATGGGTGCGGCGGGATCGATAAGATTTCGCATTTGGAAAAGCCGACTTCAGAAGATAAGAGATACTGCGTGAAGCTGTGCGGTCGAAATTCAATATTCTGGTAATTCTTGTATATCCGTTCCTGTGACGACAGGAAAGCAAATTAATATACTTTTTATTTCGTACTAATAATAATACTTTTTAACATAGGTCATGGAAATACTCACAGTAAGATTCTTTTTCTTGCAGTAACTGCTCCAACCTTGGGGTTCTAGTATTAAAACCCCACCGGGGCGTAATTGTGCGTACATACGCCTGAAAGCCTGTTTTAAGCCTGCATCTCCGAAATTTAAATGTATCCATTTAGTTATCGATAAACAGAGGATCGTGTCGAACTGCGGTTGTTCTGTACATAACAGAGAATCGTCCTCAAGCACGTAATTGCCCTAAAAATATATATATATATTTAAACTTCTGGAAACTTAAATTCATTTTGATGTAATCATACGTGCAATCTGATACAATACCTGTACAAAAGTGACATTGTAAGGGAAACCTCTGTGACTTTTATCTTTTGTGAAACCTGGAATGTCAACTGGACCATAGATAATTGGCATAGATATTGGAAAGTAGTTTACATCTTGGTGATCACTCTCCTCGTTACCAGCAGGAGACTGTGCACAATTGACATAATGTTTAATATTTTTTCGAGCTATATTGATGAGTGTTCGGTCAATGTCAATACCAGTTACGCTGCGAGCAGAAAAGTCTCTTGCAACAGAAAGAGTAATGTGACCAATATTGCAACCAATGTCTAATACATCTTTGTCGATGAATAAATGTTTACACCGTGCAAATGCTGTCAGTCTTGTGTCCGTTTCATTTTGAGAATTGCGGTACCCGTAGTACCTGTTGTAATTTCCATATTGATAATGAGCATCTTTCTCTCTGAACTTGGGCATTTTTTGTTTCTTTTTCTTGTCTTGACTCGGCCTATGGAGTGGTCTAGGCTTCCACTCTCCAGGTTGAGGAATAACAGGACTGACAATTTTATCTTTAACATCCACCTTTCTTAATCTTTTGTCTTTAGGTTCCTCTAAACCTTTCAAACGCAATTTATTTTTGTCTTTTTGCGAACTTTCTGGTTTTGTCTCTTTAAGCTGGTTCGACGGATTGACTGATGGTAAATTTGGTGCCGGTTGCTGCTGTTCCGTCTCAATTTTCTCTGAAGCATTCAGTTCTATAGGTTCTGTGATATCAACAGCATCACAATCTTTAATTTTAGTCTCTGTCGGTTCACTTGCATCATTCCCAGAACCGGAAGACGCCCGTTTTTTCTTTCTATTTCGTCGCTTAGAACCTTTTTTAGTTGGAGATATAAGCTGTTTCTCGTATTCATCATTGTCATTACAATTACTTAGATTCAAAGGATCACAGATATTTGGTGGAATTATAACTTCAATAACCTCTTTCTTGTGCCTAGGTGTGGGCAATGGGCTAGACTTGGGTGTAACAGCGTTCATAGCTCTGTTTATTTCCTCATCTTGCATGCTATTCAAATTCAAAGGATCACGTATGTTACCACCCAGTAAGAACTTTGTAGGTGGAATAATCACACCCTCCTTCTTTCTACGTTTATATGGTGGAAAGAATTTACCATTGCTAGTAAAACTCTGTAAACGTTTTCTACCAAACTTAAAGTGACGACTGTCTTCGTGCTTGTGCTTTTTGTGAGAAGCACTAAACTGTTTTCTCGACTTTTCATTCTCCTTCTTAGTAATGTGACCCACTTTGGTGGACCGATCAACTTGTGCGGATGACATCTTTTGGAATCTGAAAGAAGCAATATAGTTAGCTTTTGTACTACGAACAAATTGTTAATAAATGTTACTTGAAGAATGACAACTCAACGTAAATAACAAAAGTAAATCGACGAAACTTCAGAAATAAAATTTTGAGCTGACATTACATTGAATCAAAAAACAGAAGATGTTGCTGTACAATTTAAAGACAGTTTAATCTCGTTTTATTACGAATATATTATTACATAAAAAAATTAATTAATGCATGGATTCTGTATACATGAATTTCTGATCGTACTTATAAAAGAAGACTTGACTTCGTCATTTGCCATGCCGCGAAATATTTGCGATAGGAAACAATGAATAAAAAAAAAAACTACTTGTACATTTCTTTTCACAATAACCTAGTCAAATGAATCAACATTCAGTTGACAACAAATTTCAGCGATAAAAACATTAAGATACTTTTTATTATTGAATAAAGAATCAAAGTCATTACGCTCTTTCTTAAACGACATCATTAAATGTTTCCATCTAATTTTAAAAGTGAGATCAAAACGAAGTCAGCGTAGCATCGTACCGTTTTTCTTCGACAAGTTCTAAAAAAAAGAAATTAAAAGTAATTGTACAAATATCTTTTTTGACTCAATTTTCTTACATATTGTATATAACAATACGATTGAAAATAACTGTCGTGCACGTTATTTTTATACGTAGAACGATTTTTTGCGAAGTAACTTTTATTAGTGCGAAATTCGCGCGTAGAAGATTATTGCAACAGGATTGAGCGTGAAAACATCGTTTCGATCCACTGTATATTCCGGTCCTCTGTAGAAATTTATCGTTCCCGCGACTGCGCATGCGCAGATCGTGGTTTATGGCGTTTAGTAAACGAATGGTCGCCTATGCCCAGAGCTTTCGTATCGGATATCTCCCATTAAATGCTTTGCCGAGCGTGCGAACTTACCGCTAAACGATTTGCATCCAGCTTTGGTTTCACTTCGATCCGCCTTACGATCGCATTAAGCACAAAAGTCCACGTTTGTCAGAAAATACGCAATGCACCCAGCTTCGAACTGTCGTTGTGCGCCCATCAACGATGGCGAATAGCTGCTTTGCTTGCTTTGCTCAAACTCCATTTTCTATGTGGGTACCCGAGCCGAGTCGAGCGCAGTTTCGGCAGTCTTCGGCTCCGAGACGGTGTCCTATTGGCCGAGAACGATTTTTCGAATACCGTACAAACACAGCACCCTTCGAGGTCTGAATATTCTAAAAGACGATATGTTTACGCATAACGTTTCTGCACTGTTATGTGTGTGTGTGTATATATATATATATACATGAACGCATAAGATTATTCCGTCAGTTATGTACAATTATACATACTTTTAATACTAACAGAAATGATGTAATTAATATTTATTTGTATATATTATTAATATAATTATATTATCGAATTATTATACTATTATATATAATAATATATATGTTATTTATATTAGTAATATATTATAATTTATATCAATAATAAATGATTAGTAAACGATTTAATTTGTTAATTTATTATTTATCATAATAGTTTAGATATAACCTATTAATAAATATTTCGTCATACGATTCCAAAGTTAATTAAATTTATAAGTATATTAATCGATTAGTATTAATACTAATATTAATGTGAGCTAATTAAAATAAATTTAATATCAGTGAAATTAATATTTCTGTCTCATGCTAGGAAATGTAAGGAATCAGTATTCAGAAATGTCACTTACTTATCAAAATAGAAGTGATGCGATGTCATTAAATGATACGTCTAAATAAGTTGATATAAAAATGAACAAAGAAATAACTGATTGTTTTAATACAATAACGACTGAATATAATAACTGAACATAATTGACTATCTCACTGTTTAAATATTTTTACAAATTTTTAAAAGATCCGATGCACTAGGCTGCGTCAGATGTGTATAACCGACGCCACTCGTACTCTTTTGAATCGCAATCGAATTGGAATACGACTGCGCGCGACGAAATCTTCGTCGACCAATGACAGCGTAGGCGGCAATTACGAAACTTCGAAACGACTAAGCTGACGCTTCTGTCGAAATCACGCGACTTTTAACAATTGTACAGCCAATTTGAACAACATGTGAACAGCACAATTTAGATAGATGAAAGAAAAGAATTCTAAAAACTCTGTACCTCGGCGACACACCTTATAGACACGCGTGTTTCTCATTTGTTAGGAAAGCTGGATTCCTATTGGTTGGCGTTGCTTTGCAACAAATACCGTGCGAATGGGTATGCGAACCCCGTTATAGACGCGGCGGGTTTCTCGTTCAATCGCCACTTTTAGTCATTCCCGCGAACGCGATTTTTTTCTGATAAATTGAGCCGTTTTCGTCCGATGAAGATAGAGTGCCGTTAAATATTTTCTCTTCGTACACAGTGTCGCAATATTTAAGCCCGGGGTCCAGTCATGCAACGACCAACTCGAAACGGTATGCAGGGGAGAAATTTTCTGTTTCAACGATCGGATCTGAATCAACGAACTCCCAGTCTGTTTGAAACGTGGAGGCTGACCGAGATAAAGTGTTTCAATTCGTCCTCAAATTTGTCGTCGCAGGTATCGCGTATCTGAGTGACAATTATTTTGAGAAATTGACTAAAAAATTCTGTCTTAATATTGTCTGAATATCTTTCAACAGTCCAATTTGTTTTGCAAACAATCGTTCGAGAATACGTGCAACTCGTACATTACACCACCAGTGGAGAAGATATACGTAAAAACGCCGAGGGCGCCAGTGAAGTTCAAGAAGCAAGTGAAGAAGGGCGATTTAAGGCCGAAGAAGTTACACTACACCGACGACGAACTGGACAATTCCTCAACCAACACAGACAGCGGCATTAACGTTCAATTTGACCAATCAAACGACACGTTTCACAAACAACGTGCAACGAAATGCAATAGATTAGATTGCACGCAGAGTCAGATGCGTGGATTACGCGCGAAATTAGACAGGATTAAGATGCATACGGATGACAAAGAAAACGACAAAAGTATTGTAGAAAATAGCAGAAACAATGTAGCACAAGAATCTGTAGGTAGGTATACAAAGTGTGAGAAAATGCACATGCACACGCCGAGAACTACAGAGACCGGTGGCAAAGGGAAATTGACACATTTTCGCGTATAACAGTACACGTTAGCTGTTAATTTAATTATAATAAGTACGTTACTATTAAGGGAAAGATTGTAATAAGATTGTATGATATAATACCATTTTATAAACTAAGAGATTTATAATGAGTAAAATTTACGCAAACTTAAAAACGTCTCGGATATTTTTTAATAGAATTTATTGTACCATTGAAATGATATTATTGATCTTTCTTTCTTTTTCTTTTTGTTCGTCAGTATTCAATCCAAATGCAGAGGTGTTGTCACAATGTGACGATAATCTTGATTGGAAAGAGAAATTATACTGGCTACAGCCTAGAAGGGACGTTGGTTTATGGATTGAGTGCTGTAGGAAAAAATGTAAAAAATGGAGATACATTGAAAGTTACCATGATCCGGTAGATGTGCCTAAACTATGGTATTGCGAAATGAATTCTGGTCTGTACATAGTTTGCTTTGTAATATTTTGTGTATTTCATACATGTTTAATATCATTGCGTGACTTCACAGATAAATCAATGGCATCTTGTGATGTACCAGAACATCCAAAATCACAAGCCATCAAAACTGACTTAATTGAAAACGATTACAATGCAGGTAGCATTGTTTGGGCACGTATTAAAGGCTATCCATGGTGGCCTGGTATCGTTAACGATTGTCCTGAAACTTGCACATATTATAAATTACCTAAAAATTCTCTTAAACCTGTAAGATTATATTTTTTTCTCTATATAATACAGCTTTTATAGAAGGTATATGTAAATAAGGTACTTATAGAAAGTATATATAAATAATTTGTAGAACAAATACTATGTCACATTTTTTAACAAAGAAAAACTTGAAAGTAACTGGATTTCCAAGGGAAATATTAAATCATTTAAAACAAATAAATATACTACACTTATTAGACAGGTAATTTAATTCTATCCAATTTAATTCTCCAGTTTTACTATAAATAACAATGACTCTTATTACAGACAAAGTTTAATGGAATTGATTACAAAAAGCCTTTACAAGAAGCTTATGAAATGGCCACAAATGCACTTTCATTATCAATTTTAGAAAGATTAAGAAGATTCAGCTTTCTGGCATTCTATGAGAAATTTTATGACATCAACAATAATTCGTCACAAATAATAAACAATAATTCAACAACAGATATTTCATCAGATATGGACACAAATTCAGATGATGAAATACCCTGTTCAAAACCTAAGAAAAAGCAGTACACTTTGAAAGAGTATTATTTAGATGTTATATGCAAAAATCAAAGATAGACGATAAATGAGATAGACATTCAATTCAACATTCAATAAATAATGAATTTCTGTTATAAATACAAACAATACGTATGATATAAAGAATTAAGGTATACTTATGTTTAGTCCAGTCCTATTATTATATGATATAATATTAATGCTAAAATATTTATCATACATAACTTCTTACTGTCCAAGTTGTATGAAATAAAATTTATAACCTATAAATTTGGTTTTCGTAACTTCTTCACACTCTTCACACTATCCACTTTGTATAGTCAATGACAATAAAAAGCACGTAATTATGGAAGGACTGAACTACTTATCGACCTAGCAATTACCGGCTGAGTGCTCATTCGATTTCTCAATTAATTCGTGAAACGCCTGTATTATGGCAGCACGTAACACAAAACCTGACATACTAAAGCCATGGTGTCAAAATAATATCATCCGTGATAATACATATATACATATGTACATCATTCGTTTACTATTTCTCGATCTTGCAGCGAAAGGTATTTTTTTTTAAATTCATAAGTTTATGTTGGATTTGTACATCGATTATCGATTTAAACAATAAATTATCTTTTGTAATAATTGCTGTCATTTAGGGAAGATAAGATATGCAGAAGAAAAGGCTATAAATTGATCGACGCTTAATGTTATCGCATTTTAACATTACACTTCAAGCACTGATGCTTTCGCGTACAATATTCTACTTTTTTCTTACCCAAACATTCGTAAAGATCTGTAAATATCGTAAAGTGCAGCAAAATCACAATGCAACCGAGATTTACGATCCATCATCAATTACGAAGACACGTCGGTGAAGTTAGCATGTAAACACTGACTGAAGTATGCATTATTCCCAGCAGGACTGAACGATTATCTGCTATTGTTCTTGGGGCAACGAGGCTCGGTGGCGGATCTCATCGTGAATTAATTAAGGCACGTTGTCAACGTCGATTATCGACGCGTAACGTCTCCTTCGAGAATCATCGCAAGTTGAAGGACTAAAAATTCCTGCGAATCATCGTCAAACAGCTGTGCAACGACGAATTAAAAATGAAAATGCGAGCCAACGGCGACGCCGCCGCTTTAACGACTCTGATGCCGCCGTTCCAATTGGAAATGTTTTCTCGAACGGAAATCGAACATACATAAATGGTTGTAAATCGATATGTTAATGCGGCGCAAAGTTCGGCGAGGTCGTTAGGTCAACGTGACGTCAACGGATACGGAGACCCTCGAAGTGACGGACTGCGACAACATTTGCATGTTAAACATTTCTCGAACGTGCATATGTATATAGTGCGATTACGGCCAATACAATTCGTTTGCGGCGATGTCCTTTCCATTTATTCCAGAATTCTGCTACACAGAAACGAAAATCTTGCGACTTCTGTATGCTAGAATGGGTAACAAATATGAGTTTCTTACGTACTTGTAAAAACAGCTGTGAATCGTAGTTGTAATATTCTACGTTTTTCATCTTTCTAGATCGGTACGATGGAGGGAGCACGGGACGAGTAATTTGTATTTTCTGGAATTTTCCCACGTAGACTTAAATGTGAAAACCTTCAACCTATTCAATGAGGTTTTCTAATCTGTATTATCAGGGCGTGGGATAAATTAATAAAAGGATGAACAAAATAATCCATGCAACTATGTTAATCGTGTAGTTTCATAACACTATAGTATTAGGTTGAAGTTAAGGCATACGGACATGTATGTATCTTTTACTATACATGTAATATCATGTATACATAAAATATACATAAAATATCATCATGATAAAATAAGGATTTTGTTTCTAAAATATATATTAGAGGATAAGTCGATTTTTCAACTTTTTTTCTTTTTTTTTCTTTTTTGCTTGTTTTAGGTGATCAAAATTGAAGACAGAAAAGGAAAAGGTGAAGCAGAATAAATCAGTCTCAACGATTGCACAGCCTGTCGCTTCTTCCAATGACCCGTGATCCACTCTCTGATCCTTCCCAGTGTTGGCTCCAGAATGGAGGAAAAAAAAAGGGAAACGATAACCCCAGATACCGTAGCGCACATATACATGTGCTTGGTATCGTTCTCGTAATAATCGGACGATCGTGTTGCTAACCGAAGTAGGTACATATATGTATGTACTTGCTCGGGTTATCTGGCTATGTTTGTCCTTCGTTATAATTTTGTTACGTTTTTTCGCGCTTGTTCAGTATTGCAAAAAAAAAAAAGAAAAGAAAAGAATGGAAATAAGAAAAAAGGAAGAATCGTCACGATCGTTCGCAATTATCATCGTTGCTTTGTACGCACGTTCGTCATTTTGAGGGAATTGTCGTCGTGTTTTTCAATATCGGCATTTATGAATATCAGAAACAATTGCGATATGCACGATGTGGTCAACAAAATGAACGAATGAAAATTACTGACGTCGCTAATTGTTCAATAGATTACAACGTTGTAGTATCGAACGACTGTCTCATGAGCAGTTGACAAGTTTTTTACATTTTCAAATAATTTGTCCAGCCAACTCTCAGCAATCGTCACTAAACTGCTGAATGATATTTTCACAGTGAGAGAAACAGAGGGCATGAGAAACCCTTCTGGCAGCAGTGTATAGTTATTAACAATCAAAATGACAAACTTCGATGAAAGGTGCAAAAATGGTTTTTTTTGCCATACTGGCTCAAATTAATGTGTTCCTACAATTTCAGGTGACATGACTTTTGTCATACTGGCTCAAATTAATGTGTTCCTACAATGTCAGGTGACATGACGATTTAAGTATATATATGCTGCAGTTAGAAGTTTTCATCATTCGTGAGAAAGACGACATGGCATGTTAAACGTGTTAATTTGAGCATCATAATTTGGACATTGGAAATATCACTTTGAACCAACCAAAACATATTGACTGGGCAAGCACATTGGGCAATCTTTTATCAAGCGACACGTTACGTTGCTTAAATCAATTCTGTTGTGAAATATGCAACCGTAACGATTGGCTATTCTAATTGCCGTTAATGAACCATCAGATAGTTAAAACATGCTACCTTTGAAGCTATATATGTACGTATATAGACATAACGTGTAATGGCTGGACATTAGTTGGCAAATTAAATTTAATTATTATTTAATTACTTATCAATAGTAAAATTCAATTATTTAATGACTAAATTAAATTTATTAATTAAATATTAAAGATGGCTGGTTGAATCTTGGACCGAGGAGGCTCTGGAAAAACTTCAATTTTCTGGCAATGATCTCGTGTCTTTCTTGGGAACCATCGTACAGGGTAACGAGGGCGTACGCAGTGTTTGACAAACATAGGAGCGGCATATCGGGTCGATGACAAAAAGAATAAAAGGAGAAAAAAAAAAGGGAAGGAGCTGGGATATAGGGAGGAAGAGACTATACTCTGACTCTCGACCTTTTCCTACCTAGCCTTTCGTGTATTTCACTCGCTTTATACCTAGGCGTGGCCTCTGTGTTCCCTTTGCCTCGGCGAACTATCGCGCTTCCGGTATAATCGTACGGCAGAATAACGCCCCGGGCGAAATTAACATCGGATCAAACGACGGATCGATCCGTCCTCTTTCTCAATTCGAAATCCATTTAGAATCCATTTAGAATGTAACAGTCTTTTGTAAAGTCCAAATACAGTTTCAAATACCGATGTAAATAGTTTTGAAAATATTCGACTTTCTCCTGATCACTAATCGGATGATTCTTTTCCAGGCTGGACGAGCGTTTAACGATAATAATCGCAAACGAGCATTTCGAGGAAACGCAACAAACGACAGATAACGAGAGGACTGTTCTGAAAACCACGCCGATTCATCGAGACAAGAGGCGTCGTTCTATCGGATAAGGAGATCGAAGGAAAAAGGAACGAGGAATTGTCATCGATGGAGCTGTCTGTTTGCTTCTGCATTGCTCTTCGTGGTTCCTGATTTCGCGGTCGATCGGCCAAAAGAGCCACGACGACAATGGTGGCCGATGTCGTTTCTAAATACGTCTCTGGATGTAAGCGCACCTCGCGAGAGACCTCCTCTAAACTAAATGCGACTTTTAACGAGCAACACGAGGAACGGAGGAGCGACAGGGAAACGACCTGCGCGCGGATTCGGGCGCGGTCAATGCCGTCTAGATGCTCGCTATTACTATCCGAACCGCCTGGTATTTTCGTCATGGCCTACTAATACACTCCGCAAATTCTCGCCCTACCACCGGGCCACTGTTCGACGATGACGTGGCCGAGGAAATATGCCGATCGGGTGTCGTGTCGCTGACCGTGATGTCCAATTTCCTCGTTTTTCTTCCTTTTTCGTTTTGCTCTTTGAAAATGAGCCAACAACGAGCCTGTTCTATGCAAGAGATTCGTAAAGATAGTTAAAAAGATAAAAAAATTCTTCTTGATTTGAATTTGACCATCAAACCGAAACCTTCTGCATGGTTTGAAGAAATTCACAAAGTGAAGTTCCACGAGAGTTGAATAAATTTCTCACAAGGAAAGATGCCCATGTAATTACTGCTTCTGTAAAGGTATTCTTCTTTTGAAATGTTTGCTCTTCCATTCGGGGGCAGCCTCGAATTTTCTAGCCTGGCGTAACGAGAAAAATCGGTATATTAATGCGTTTTAGCGGTAAGCATAGTGGTCGTGGCTAAATATTCGAGGAGTTCAGCCTTCTGTGTATTCATGGCCATCGTCGTCGTCGCGGGGAAGGAAGAAAGAACAGATGCATTTGCATCTGAAAGATGCACGATTTGTAGGACACGGAGTTTTTCGATTCAGTATGTTTACTTGACAATATGCATGTATATATATGTACTGAGAATTATAGCGATATAAGCCACTCTTGTAACTTATATTGTAAAATTATGTTTATTACTATCGCTTTCTTAAATTTCCGATAATAAACGAGGTTGTAACGACAGTTGGCTATAAAACTGAACATGTAGAACTACGATTCTCGTATATTGACCATTTTTAGAAATATTCTACTTAACGTATTTCGTTACCTAATTCACAATTTGTTCATAATTGGAAGCTACTCTTTCTTCAATCACAGAATGTCAAGCTTCGTATTATCTTCTTATTTTGTGAAAAGACGTACCATTTATAATCGGTAGATAAACGTTTCGAAGTTAATTACAACGAAAAACTCTTCATCCGTCCCGATATCACATCATTGATACCAATAAACGGGTAAAGTCGATGATGCAATGTCAACCATGTATACTCGTTTCCCCTTGCGCATCGAACGTTTTATCTGTTCAGCTCATTATAGATAAAGACGTAGACGCCAGTCCTGTCCTATTTCGTAAGTCTCGGTCATCGTGCAACGGCCATTTGGCGATAAAATTTTTTTGAATTTGGGACACGAGAAAACACAGGGTCGCTAAGGTCGTTCCACGTCGATAAGATATTACCGACGTAGAACGTAAGTGCACTGGTTACGTAAACGTAGGGTACAGGGGGTGATATCTCATCCAACGACCCAAGTTACACTACACGACGAGAGGAGACGACGTTGTAAATCATCGTTACGACGACGGATCGAACGAGCCATTTGTCGTGTTTAGCAATCGAGGATGCAAAGGAAGGATTTCCTTTCAATATACATATACTGTTAATAACTGATTTATTTCTGATTGCTTTCCGAATACCAAATACGAACCGGTGTTCAAAAATAAGCAAAAATAAGATATACGCAGGTAGCCTGTATTGTAATGCGACGCGTTATCAGCCTTGAACTCGGTGACGAAGCACTCTGTGCCAGCGCGTTGTAAAGTACAAGTGTATTTGCAACTGGTACGTTACTTTCGATGACTGGCGAGTTGACATGAATTTCACTAGCTACTTAGGACGTTAGTCACATTTCATAGAATCATCGGGTAATATTGTAAATTCATAAGATCATAAAGTAACTTCGCATTTTGTATTCTGTGCTTGGCGGAATTGTAATTTATTCGAGCACATCGGAGACCGTTACAATTCGAATCACGTCGTTCTGAGAATGATTCGAGATTATTAGTTTCGATGATAAGAACTGAGATTTAGGAAATTGAAATCGATGGGGTTCGTTTGTGTTACCAGTGGCACGAGTCTCTTGAATCTTAGATTCTGAAACTCAACCTATTTGATATGTTGCATATACTTGTACATATGTATAAAATGGAAATTTCAATTGTAGCTACGTTAGTCATCATTTCATAAAATCATGTGTATAAAATTGTAAAATAACTTTATTCTGTAGTAAAGTTATTTGTTGTTTATTATTTTTTATTACTCTATAGTAAATTATTACTATTTATTCTTCTGTAGTAATGGTAAAACTCTAATTTATTTGAGCATATCGAAGAACAGTGTAATCATTGTTCCCAGAACAACTCTAATTATTATTTTATTAATAAGTCAATTAAGATTTTTAATTTAAGAATTTTAAGATTATTAATTTTGATAATAAGAATTAAAATTTAGAAGAATGAGGTCGATCGCGTCGTTTATGTTACCAAATTGTAACAAATTACGATTGATCTCAGATCTTGAATACTTGATACTTGATTGCATCCGCCAGTATTTACTCGCGCGTAAAACAGAGATTTCAGTCGTGGCCACGAAAGAGTTAATTAATAGAGCACGTAGTAGGTAGCGGCGCGTTAATGTCTCGTCATCCGTGCCCCGTCACCTGCATCATTCACGGGGTGCGTTGAGCTGCATCCCCGCTCCTGGCATCGCGCGAGCCCATCCCCCACCACTGCGCTTCCGTCGTTTGGTAGACGAACGCACTCTCACGCACACGTCGCTCCATCCCCCCCCCCCCCCCCCCCCCCCCACCCCACCCCCACGCCCCTTTCGCAGTTCGAAACGCGACGGCGCGATGGAAACGCGCACTCGTGACTGGTGGACTTCTCGTCAACCTCCGCGCAGCTTAGTCCGCGCCACTCGTTCCACCAGTTTGGATCCTCGTCTGCGTTGGTACCGGCAGTTCGTTCAGTTTCGTACACGCCGTCGCGGTCGTCCCGTTGGCGTGACGAGGAGTTACAACTTGGTTCTTCTTCGCCCTCCAATCGTTGACCGTCGTTGTCCCGCGAGTAGATATTCGTATAAAGTCGAAGTTCCGCGGTAGAAATTAAGAAACGGCGGCAACAAAAGGCGCCGACGAACGAAAAAGCCTGTTTCGCGTGCACGTCGGTTTCGGACACGTTTTAGCGGTAAAGAGGAAGGAACTCTGTAGTCGGTGAAAGAGATACGTAATCGGCCACCGGGGCTGAAGTTGATACGTTTCGAAAGTCGAAGCGCGAGTAAAGTAACCTGAGACGTTTTGGGAATCGTGAGGATCTAGAGCTTCGCTCTCCAGGGCCGTACGACGTCAAACTCGCCGATGTCGGACATTTGTTTCTTTTTTTTTTTTTTCTCTTCTTTTTCTGGACAATCTTGATTTTTAACAATTTTTATTAACATGACAGTTCTAATCGAACTGCGTTAGAAGCACGCAGTACAATTTGAAAATATATATTTCGATCCAGTTGTATGTATATTGTACGTGACTTATCGTTTAGGTTGCTTATCATCACCGTTGAATCGCGCTAAAAAAACGTGTCGATTAAAGACCATATTTTCGTAGCCCAATATTGAAAAGGCTTTTACGCATTATACATGGCCCACATCAACGAGCCTCGTCGTTCAACGTTTTAATTTACGACTTCACTGCAGTAGTGTTCTGCCAATTGGCCACGATCCTCGAGACACGGATATATAAATAAATATTTGTCTGTTTTCCGCGTGTAAGTTGTAAAAACTGGTAGGGATAGCGGTGGCCAGTTAACGCGGCTCTACGAAGACCAATTCCTCCAACTGTACTTTCGTCTCTTTCAATTGATTCACGACCTCGCTACAATAGCACATCGTCAATTGACCACGATTCTCAAAACACGGATACATAAATAAATATTTGTTTGTTTTCTGTATGTAAGTTGCAAAAACTGGTAAAAGGGATTAACGATGTCCAGTTAACGTGACATTACGAAGATTACAGTTCATCTCTTTCAATTAATTTGCAACTTCGCTAATTGGCCATGATTCTCGAGATACAGATATATATAAATAAATATTCGTTTGTAAACGTATATATTCGCGTGCAAGTTATAAATAGTGGTAGGGGCAACTGTGGCCAGTTAACGCGCCAGTACGGAAATTACGGTTCCGCCAACTGTACTCTCGTCTCATCGTTTCGTTCCCCACTCCGCTGGTCGTCAGTTCCTCGGTTTTTTACTCGGTTCGAAACGCTCTCGTCTCCACCTTCCGTCTCGTTTGTCTCCTACTCCTTCGCGTTCGTTCTCGATCGTGTGCCACGCTTCCGGCTGACAGTGCGGTTTTTCGGGCCTGCGCGACTCCACGCGTGTACAGCGTGTACAACCTTTCCTCCTCCTGTGCGATTTCCTCAGTGATCTGCGAATCTCCCGGCGGGAATCTGTTTCCTCGCGGCCTCTCTGCCCGCTATTCGTCGATAACCGTCGAAGGATGGCGGCGTCGAGCCCGCCGTCGTTTCCGTGCACTTTGCTCTGAGAGTGCGTCGTGCTTCGTATCTGGAAATGGTGCACCTGTCCGCCCTCCTCCACGTTCCATGTCCTTCGGTGAAGGATCGATCGAAAACCCGGCGAAGGATTTGGCTGTGAACCTCGACGACGATCGTCAATGTTGCTAGCCGAAAGGAAAATGATAAAACGTCTGCGACGAACGCCTACGTTCGGTGAGTGAAAATTTTACTCTCCACCCTTTACACCTTTACGTATTACGACGTAAGATATAACTGCACACACGCGGAGAATTTTTTTTACCATTTGAGTATATATATGTATATACATATGCATATGTTTCTTTGAAGAGGCAAATCGCGCGGAAAGAGATAGCGGGCCAACGTTAGGATCCTCCCGAAAGCCGATAATTGTGTCATTGCGCCTGGAACAATCGTAGGATTATGTAACGCGCGTAATTTGAACGTGGATACCACGTGCCCACTTGTATTACTATTTTTACCCCTTTCTTCTTTCCTTTTCTCATCCGTTTACGGCTATTCGATCGGAAAAGAAACTCATTACGTCATATTTTCTTTTCTTTTTTTTTTTTTTTTCTTAGTCACAGGTTGCGTTTCTTTAGTATTTTTAGGAAATGCGTAACGTATGCACGTCGATCGAAATCGTCGAGTCGACTCGAACACGAGGCACGCTGAAAATGAGTAGGCGGGGGTGTCGTTAGACGGTCGGTCACGCCCATTGGTCAGGCTCATCGTCGTCCGTATGTTTCGCGAGGCTTAATTAAATTAAACGCTTTGGGTAGCGGTTTTCTAAGGTCGTTCGGTGGCGCACCATATTTGACGAAGAGGCACATATTGCCCCCTCCCCTCTAAACCACTCCTAGAGTCTCGTATTTCCGATATTCCTTCCTCTGTATCGTTCCCTACCAATTATTCGGACACGATCTGGCCGGACTATTATTAGATTCGTTTCGTTTGGGTTCGTTGTCGAGGAGGGGAATGTTATCGAGAGGGCCGTGCAATTTGGCTTTGTATGACGCTGCTCGGTACGTGACACACGCCGTTGAAGAATCTCTTCGAACAACTTCAGAAACGCGTTAGAAGTTTTTGAAAAACAAAAGAAATTTAATGTACAAAGTCATATGCTTGAAACATTCGAAATTGAAAATTTATAAAAATTTGTATCTCGTTTGAAGTTGCTCGAAGTTATCCAGCGCAATTGCAAAGTAAGAAAACCGAGAGTTCTACCGCATCCCGTCGTGTACACACGCCCTTGTCCTGTCGAATGAAACGAACGTTCGACACCAGAGCGCGTTGCATCTTGTATAGCAACGCGTACGATACGCGCAACCGCGCATGTGAACGCGTGTGCGAGTAGTCTGGCGCCAGCAGGTGCAGTTAAATATAACTTGTGCAACGGGTATCCTCTTCTCCTTTCTCCCCCCTCTGCCCCTTTCTCTCTTCCTCATTATACCTCTTTCCTCGGCCCTTTTCTTTCTGCCCTGTGGAAAAAAAAAAAACGGCGCGGCGTAAACAAATGGCGAGGAAGAAATTCTGTCAAGGATATGACGACGATCTTTTTCGAATATATATCTGTCGCCGACAGAGGGATACGCGTACACCCGTCGTCTGTGCGCAGTAAATTAATACAAACAGTAAATTAATACAAACCTTGTTTACGTCAGTTCGCACGACGGATGATACTGCGTTTCGTAATGAATCGATTATACCACCTTGTTTTCCGCGATTCTGACAAGGAGGCAAAACGAACCGTGGAATTATCGAAGGTTCTCGAGAGAAACGTGAGAATCTACACAGTTGTACATACATGTACGTGTGTGCACGTGTCTCTTTTTTTTTCTTTTTTCTTTTTTGCGAGGCGTGTATAATGCAATTTCCACGTTCGTTGTCGCGAATTATCGAAACTTTTTCGTTTCAGTTCTCCTGAATTTTATCTTCCTTCGTCTTTTTTTTTTTTTTGCATCGGTTGCGATATTTTCGATGAGCGAGCGGGACTAGAATTCTTAAAAGTTACGTTGGAACATTAATTTATGCCATTTTAAGTTTAGTTTAACATTCTCGTGTAGCAGAAGCGACGACTTCGAGTTTATAGAATTTATGGGAGAGAATTCACATTCCCCAAGAGTATACCAATTAAATTTTACGACAGCCCGTGAAATTACTTCACCGTATCACGGAATATACAGCGTATCGAGAGAAGTATTCGTGTTCTTCTTTTACGCGCAGCACGTTCGATTCCTCCTCGTCGTGAACACAAGACCCCGAGTATTTTCTCTCTCTCTCTCTCTCTCTTTTTTCTTTCGAGGCGAAAAAGAAAGAAACAGATTAATGCTCATTATGGATATTAGCCTTCGGCCATTTGCATAAAGGCGGAGACGTTGATACAACTGGTCGTCGCGATAACGAGCGACGGATGGCATGACTGGTTGCGAGAGAACTTTTATTTTTCCCTCCCTTCCTGCCATTTTTATCTTTCTCTGGTCTATCCCCTCGCGCGCATGCGCGGCTGTACAATGAACAAAATAAAGAACAAAACCGTAGAAATACCGTCGGAATTTCTTCCTGTTTCGTCGCAGAGATAACGAGCACTTTGAATTTTATCGAACCGTTAAATTTTCGAATTTTCGTACGTATCGCTTCCTGAAAAGATTTTCGA